CTCTGTGTAGCTTTGCGCCTTTCCTGGAACTCACTTGGTAGCCCAGGCTGGCCTCGAACTCACAGAGATCTGCCTGGCTCTGCCTCCCGAGTGCTGGCATTAAAGGCGTGCGCCACCACCGCCCGGCTGATTTTTTTTAAATATTTTTACTGGTAATTTTTTAATTTTAGTGAAGCCTGCAAATAAAACATAAAAATATGGCTATGGTGGTCATTTGATTATAGTCGTTGCTATTAAAGGAAGTTGCTAAGCTTCAGTATTAACTTTGGGACCTAAAAATGGCTAATCATTTGGAGCACTTAATAGACATTGGGACCTGTTGTGAATTAATTGGTTTTGTGTTGGTTGTAAAAGTCCCTTTTTGTAAGAAAAACCAAATCATAGAGACATTAATAACTGGCCCAAAGTCACATGTTAAGTAAGAGACAGAATGAAGAACCCTTAAGTCTTGGTGTTTACCCGCTGTGTTTAGATAAAGGGCCAGCTTCTGCTGTTTCTAGTGTTCTTAGTTCTATGTTTATGTCCATGTAGGTATTCCTCGGTCTTCTATGTGTTCATAAATACTTGCGTCTCCACCCATGAGATTTACTGGGTTTCCTAGCTACCTCTGGAGGTGTAAAGTGGGGGGAAAATAGCAAATGTATGACTAATGAGCCCCTTAAAACAGGCACTCTGACAGGCCACAAGGAGCAGAGACAACTTGGGTGTTTGGGATCCTGGTGAATGAGCACGCTGAAGATACAGGTTTGAATGCGGAGCTCTTTCTAAGACATGTCACAGGCCATGAGTGGATGTGTGCTAAGGAGGTCAGAGCTATGCAGAAGAAGAGGAAGTAAGTCTTGCCAGCTGGTCAACCCTGGGCAAGCTGTTTGCCTTGCTGAACCAGCATTGACTCCGTGGAATGGGGATGCTCAGGTTACAGGAGCACAGTGAGCGCTGAACAGGATGGCAGAGCCAAGTCTCATCCTCAACGTGGATGACGGCTGAGCGGCGTTGGGGAGCGCATTCGAAAGGCCTTCTTGGTAAAATGGCACCATCAGCGGATGAGCAGCAAGTTCCAGGGAGCTCAGCTCCAAAATCACTAAATGAATGTAGCCTGTTATAACAGGAGGCTCCGTTTTCTTTGCATACACTGCCAAAGACACCATGGCTCTGGGTCTTCATACTCTGACCAGAGTGGGATGCTATGCCAACCATCCGAATGGATTACGTCTACAGATCAGTTCCTTCTGCTCCGTCAAGGACTAGGTGAGAGAGCCGCTGCCTCATAAAATCAGGAGAGCCAGTAAAATGCAAACCCACCTGGACAAAACTGTCTTAGCCCCACCTGGGAAGGATTGCTAAACTTGGGTCTGAATGTGAGGAGCAACCAAAGAGGATTTGAAGTCTCTTCTGTGAAGAGTGCCTGAGGGAGACCACCAAAGAAAGCAACTCGGAATGAAGAGCTCCTCGGCCTCAGTCTGTCTCATGAAATCCCTGGTAGGTATAAAAGAAACATAGTAAGTGCTTCCCAGACACCTATTAAACTGAGCTGAGTGCTGGATCTGCTTCCTGACTGCTATGAGGTTCTTATAACATTTAGGAACCTGTCAAGATTGGGAGGATTAGCCAGACTGTAAAAACTTCTTGACTTTGGCTACCTTAACTCTGTTTTCTGCACACATACAGGCGCGCGCACACATGCGCACACACACACACACAGACACACACACAGACACACACAGACACACACCACAGACACACACTCATAGACACACGAATACACCACTCATATACATACATGCAAGCAAGCACACACAGAGAGATACTCACCAAGCACACATGTACATACACACAACCACACACACATACTCTCACACACAAATACTATACATATACACATATATGCACATATACACGCTCATTCACACACACACACACACCACAGACACACACTCATAGACACACAAATACACCACTCATGTACACACACGCAAGCAAACACACACACAGAGATACCCAGCACACATGTACATACACACAACCACACATACAAACTCACACATACTCTCACATACAAATACTATATATATACACATACATGCACACACATGCACATATACGTATATATGCACATATGCACACACACATACCCATACTGACACTCATTCACACACACACACACACACACACACACACACACACACACACACATACACCATTGTTCCTTCTTTCCCATCTGACTTTTGTTGTCTCCATTGTCCATAACCTTGGCCAAAAGGTAACCATGAGAACACGTTTTGATAACTTGCCATAGCATCATAACAGAAATGGAATAATTCCATTTGTCAATCACTATTTGCAAAAACATTCTTTGCATTTCAAAAGTATTTTAAATAGATGTGCTAAATTTGATTGATGTAACAATCAGTTCCAGAAAGTCCATGACTAAGACAAGAATAAAAAAAAAAAATCTAAAATGTGTGACTGTATTATTAGTGCCCAGATTTAAATCACGGTGTTTTGTTCTGAAATTCCAAAGGCCAGGGGGTCCACACGGTGCATCAGCGCAGCAAAAAGAGAAAAATCTTCCAGCTAGAGAGGGTCTCAATGGGAGGACAATCATGATGGGTCTGTGTGCTCCTCTAGAATCGTGGTAGTTTATATTTTATTTTTGCATAGACACAAAAGTGAAAAACAAGCCTGTCTGAAGAGCAGCAGCGCCACCCTCCCTGAGAGGCTGGGGTCTACTTGCTGAATCCAGACCCTCCCAGCCCAGAAGCCCTGGAGCTGGGGTAGAACCAGGCATGTCCTGAGATTCGTTTGTGTTTCTCAAAGGTGCCCTGGGAGTTGCTTTTATTCTCCCTCAGTGGTAAAGTTACATAAAACACTGCCGGGTAACAATGGAACATCTGGCAGAAGGTGCCAACCGACTCACATGTAAGCGTTTACATTACACTCTCTTCTGTATTTATCCTAGGATTTAAGCACAGCTGTCTGCGGGGGAGTCCCCAGGGTCTTTTCATAGGAGAAGCAAGGGAAGGCCCATCAGCTTGGCTCCAGGACAAGCAGCAGCTTCGGTGAGGGAGACAGGCATCACACTGAATAATGCAGCTTGCAGAGCTGCATCCCTCCATCCAGGCGTCTTGAGTCTACTTGAGTCTGAATCTCAGGGAGACAAGGCCGCCAAAAACAATTTGCCGGAGGCCAGGCGCTGTGAAGAAGCGGCACTGGTGTGTTAGCTGACAGGTGGGGAGTGGGGGGGGGGGACAGGCAGGGTCCCCACACGGACCTGACAGCAGCTGAAGAGGCCTACTTCCTAGAGCCTGTGAGAACAGTACTGTGAGCAACTACGTGTGGCATCTTCGGTAGGTATCAGTGGACGGACCACTAAAAATCCCCCAAGGAGCCACAAAGATAACAGGGAAAGAATGGCGAGTGCCACACCCCAGCTAAGGACAGAGCACGCTGCCCCAGTGACAGACCCTGGGAATTCTCAGAACTCTTGGAGGTAGGACTTGGGCTTGGAGGAAGGGTTAAACAGGCCACATCAAAGGCAAATTTGCATCTTACGATTTTGTGAGTGCACAAATGAACTTTTGCTTCTTTCTCCCCCAAACCCCGGGTTCAGTGGGATACAGGAAACAAAGGACAAGTAGAAACATTTAAGTTTGTGGGAACATGAGCTGTCAACGAGACCCTGAGCCACCTGTATTTAGAGAACATCCAAACAGGACACTTTATAACCAGGACCACCACTCAGGGGGCGGCGCTTACCTCCAACCCACCAACTAAGAATCAAGTCACCCTTTACCCCATCCCAGTGGTTCTCACCCTTTGGGGTCACGTATCAGATCTCCTGCATATCAGAGATTTACATTACAATCCATAACAGTAGCAAACTTACAGTTACGAAGCAGGGACGAAATGATTTTTATGGTTGGGGGTCACCACAACATGAAGAACTGTATTAAAGGGCCACAGCGTTAGGAAGGCTGAGAATCATTGCCTTTAATCAATAGCCAAACCTCTATATGACCGCGTGGCATGTTTGTTATATACTCCGTGCACAGCCTCAGACAGGATACTGACTTGGTCACCTTCCCCCTTGCTGTGACAGATTAAACGACCTAAGAAAGGAAGGGCTTATAGTTCACAGTCCATCCGTCACAGCAGGGATGCCCTGGTGGTGGGAGGTTGAGGCAGCTGGTCATATTGCCTCCCCAGAGAAGCAGCAATGGGAGGAGAATGGTGATGTTCAGCTCACTTCCTCTTTTTCATGCAGCCCAGAACTCCAGCCTAGGGGATGGTGCTGCCCACTTTTAGGGCGGATCTTCTCAGCTCAGTTAACCTAATCTTGATCATCCCACACAGGCGTGCCCAGAATCCTAGGTACTTCTAGATCCTATCAATGTGATAGTATTAACCATCATACTAACCTTACATAAAAACAGAAGTAATACTATTCTACCTCTCAAAGTATGAAATCAAGAGGCTATACTGAAGATGCCATGGGGGCAGTCATACAGACCAGGTGACCCTTTTAGCTGGTCACAGCTGATTAAGCCCCAAGTGGGAAACTGAGCCACCAGTCAGACTTACTTTCTCGGGATTGGAAACTTGAGAGACATTTAAGCTTAGAGAACCAGTCTGGAAATGAGTGGCACCATGGGGTCCAGGCAACATTTTAGGATAACCATGATGGCTACAAACAAATAAGTGAGCAGAGGCCGGGCGGTGGTGGCGCACACCTCTAATCCCAGCCCTCGGGAGGCAGAGGCAGGCGGATCTCTGTGAGTTTGAGGCCAGCCTGATCTACAGAGGGAGATCCAGGACAGGCACCAAAACTACACAGAGAAACCCTGTCTCATGGGAAAAAAAAAAAAAAAAACAAAGTGAGCAGAGAAACTGGGTCTGAACAAAGAAAGAATTGGCCAGTTAAAGAGGGGTGGTTAAGATGTCATGTAGTCCCCAAAGGAGAAGGAGATGGGAGTAAGCCTCTAGTGACTGTCTAGTTCCCATAAAGCTTAGCTACACTTTCTACGTTAGGTGTGGAATTCTTCTGCATTTTTACAGAATAAGACTGCCACTCTCTAGTAACTTTCAAGTGTTTGTTCCTTGAAAAAAAAAAATTGAAAATTGTAAAATGAAAAATAGCGTGTCTTAGTTAGGGCTTTTATTGCTGTGAAGAGACGCCATGACCATGGCAACTCTTACAAGGAAAACATTTAATTGAGGGGGCTCGCTCACAGTTTCAGAGGTTTAGTCCATTATCATCACGGTGGGGAGCACAGCAGCGTGCAGGCAGATGTGGTGCTGGAGCTGAGAGTCTTACATCTTGAAAGCAACAGGAAGTCGACTCTGACACTTGGGGGGAGGAGTGTCCTGAGCATAGGGAACCTCGAAGCCCGCCCCCACAGTGACGCACTTCCCCCAACAAGGCCACACCCACTCCAACAAAGCCACGCCTCCTAATCGTGCCACTCCCTATGAGATGATGGGGGCCAGTGACATTCAAACCACCCCACCATACAAGTACAGCAATAGCTTTGTCCAGTTTTCACTTCAGACTTAGTAATTAGGAGGAAGAATGAGCAAGCAACTTGACCTTTCAGGGAAGAGCAACTTCACGAACCTTCCACACGCTGGAGAGTGTCGAACTCTCATCAACAAGGTATCGGACATAGGATCAGCTAGTGCACATCCTGTGTGGAAAACGCTCAGTCTTGATGGAGGCTTGTAGCCAGCCAAATTCTTTTGACTCCGTGCCAAGGTCTCAATTCAACCTGGTTGAAAAGCAAACTGTAAACGTTGTAGTCCACCTGACTGCTAAGGTTGGGGTGGGGGGCATACATATCTAGCTCAGACATCTGTCCTTTCTCCTAGCGCCTTGCCTTTGTGGCGGCTTCATTGTCAGGTGGGCAGTCGCCACCATGGTAAGATGCCAGCCGCGGCAGCTTAATTCCTACTAAGTAGTGTGTCTTTGTCTATGGTCCCGGGACTAGCCCTGATTGGCCTAACTTGGGTCTTATGCTTATATCTCTGCTATCACGGGTGCCAAGTGAATGCAACTTTTTCTTTGTCTGGGTGGGTGATGACGTCTCTGTAATGAGTGGATATCGGATTGGCTTCAAAAGTTCACAGAGATGGAGAGCCAAGATCGCTCCGGAGAAGAAAAATCTAGGGTGTTCCAACCATGGAATGGGGAAGCCATGCTGAGGGACTTTTCCAGTCCTTCTGAGGCCTTTTTATTATGAGCACCGAAGGACAAATAAACCTTCTTTAGAAGGAAGGCCCTTTCTATTTTAAAACAAGCGGAGTGACCAAAAGACGAGCGCATGCCTCTTGCCTCACTGCACCTTTGGTCAAGCCTCTACCACCCAGGGAGGCAGAATCAATGGATGAGTCACTGTCTCCAGGCCCGGCTTCCCACCCAGTTCCCTGAGTCACCCCATACTCCACCCAGTACATTCTGCTTTTCTCACTGTTTCCTCGGATCTTCTGGGACAATTAGAGAGCTGTAGGCAATGGGGAAGACACGTGTCTTTAGAAGCAAGAGACCCTCTCCTGGAACAAGACGGGCAGGATGGGTAGAGGAGGAATGGATTTTGTAGTCCTTGCAGTACTTAAAAATCTGCTTGGTTTTGTTTGTTTGTTTTCCAGTGACCGGGGTCAAGGAGCCCCACACACCCTAAGCACATGCTCTCCTACTGTGCTTTACCTCAGCCTTTAAAATCAAATTCTGCATTATAAAAAGCAGATTTGTGTGAAACTTGCCCCATCTCCCCACCCCTGTTTAAAACATAAGCTGTAACATGAATTGCTAAACGGCCTTATTAATAAAAACAAAAACAAAAACCCGGAGCCTGATATTGGGGTGAAAGCTGAAAGATCAGAGGAATAGAACAAGCCAGCCACAAGTTCTTACTGCTAGGAAATCCTCAGCCCAAGAGAGCTACTTCCTGTATATCCATGCCTATATACCTTTCTGTGCCCTGCCATCTCACTTCCTCTCTCTGCCCAGCTACATCACTTCCTCTTTCCACCCAGTTCTATCGCTTCCTGTCTGTCTGTACAGACCTCCAAATCTCTATGGTTCACTAGTGCTGGGATTAGAGGTGTGTGCCACCATGCCTGGCTCTGTTCCCAGTGTGGCCTTGAACTCACAGAGATCCGGATGAATCTCTGCCTCCCGAATGCTAAGATTAAAGGCGTGTGCTACCACTGCCTGACTTCTATGTTTAATATAGTGGCTGGGTTTGTCCTCTGATCCCTAGGCAAGCTTGACTTGTTAGAGCACAAATAAAAATATCACCACAAAAAGCAAACACCTTTATCATCTTGTCCCGGAAAGGCCAGGCATGTCTTCCCACCGGAAGCCTCTCCTCTGCCTTCCGTCTCCTGCATGTCCTGAAGAGACACCATCTATCACCCCGCCCCTGTTCTCACAGCACAAGGCCAGTGCTGGGGTGCCAAGGCTTTTCATGTTGTGGATGGCTATCTGGCTGTTCCATGATATCTCAGAAGGGTCAGCGATGTCCTCAAGCTTTGCTGTTCCCCGCCCCTCATACAGAGTTTGGCATAGAAAGTCATGCATAAATGTAGGGGAGTGAGTGGGTCCTGGAGAGCTTGGGAAGTTAAAAAATGTGTACAGTAATGTCTGTATTTTCATTGAGGTGTTTTATTAATTTCTTTTTCTTTCACTTCTAGGAGATTCTAAAAGCAAGAAGAGTCCTTTTCTTTTCAGTATCACCTGGAGTAGCTGCTCCTGCTGTGGACAGTTCCAGATACCACTCTGGAAAGCCAGGCATGTCTGCACTCAACAGGAACTGTTCCTAGGTAACCGTGGAGGATGGCAGGTCTGAGATCTGACGGTTCATGTCCGTGGAAACACCACAACAGCGGGTTACTGACAGCATGCATTCAGTGTTTGAACACAACAGGAAACATTCATTAAATGTTTCACGATCAATCTGCAGTTAATTTAAATGCTTATGCAGTTGTGCTGTACAGAATTAAATGCAGCAGGATAAATATAAATGATGAATAACGCCGGGCGTTGGTGGCGCACGCCTTTAATCCCAGCACTCGGGAGGCAGAGGCAGGCGGATCTCTGTGAGTTCGAGGCCAGCCTGGGCTACCAAGTGAGCTCCAGGAAAGGCGCAAAGCTACACAGAGAAACCCTGTCTCGAAAAACCAAAAAAAATAAATAAATAAATAAATAAATAAATAAATAAATGATGAATAACAAACTGTAGTTAACTGTCAGTGCTCTGGAATATTATGATAGATAATAAATAGGCCATTTGATTTTCCATAGTTTCTATTGGAAGCTTTTAAGAGGTTTTGTTTTTTGTTTTTTTTAAGTATGCTTGGGAAAAACTAATCTCTTACTATAAGCAGTAACAACATAACAATATTTTTATTCCAAATATTAGCATTAAAAGCAATCGCAAGAGAAGAATGAAATGAACTTGAATGTGTTTGGGTATGCGTTCTTGCGTTACTGCCCCTACATAAGAGGGACAGTGCTTCAGTTTACACATTTCTCACTAAACGTTTGTTGAACATGATTGTGTTCTAGGAAGCATGTTCTCCAGCTGAAAAAGACAGTTCATGGACACGTATGTAACTTTCCCTTAGCGTGACAAACCGAATCTCATTTTAAAAGGGGAGAATGTCATGTCTTATTTACTCCTTCCAATTAGCATCTTGCCAGAGACCAGACTTAACGATTCTGGTACCCACACAGTCTTTTCCTCTCCACGGTGGAGTTCTGCAGAGATATCTATTTTATCTCATGTTCACAAAAACCCTTAGTGGTAGAGATGACTATTATCCATCTGATTTTGCAAAGAGGAAATGCAATACATGGAAGGCTAGAGGATTATCCCAGGTGACACCAGTGACATTTTGTTGAGCCAAGGCTAGCACCGAGCCACCTGATTTTGAGCTTCGGTGGCCTCCTGGTTATTTTGAATTTAAACAGAAAGTCAGTCTGGTGTCGCTAACAGCTGGCTTGAGAGGTCAACTCTGGTCAAGGAATGTTATCAAGAACCTTTCTAAAACATGACCTCATCTTATATGTATGTAGGGCCATAAAGACATGGAAGGATTGGGACTGTGATCCTTGGCAGCCGGCCCTTCCTCCCATTGTTTATGTCGTAAGACAGACACTTTTCCGTTCATGGAAGCCAGCCAAGAAGAAATGGATGTGGGTAAGCAAGCACCACGGTTGGTAAACTGGAAGTCTCTGAAGTCACGTCTCCACTGGCTTTAAACAACCTCGCATCAAAAATGCACTAGACCTAAATCCTTGGGCGCTGCTGAAAAGCTCAGCTGGCTGTTTAGAACCAGACACAGACATCAATGACACGTGCCCTTGAAGACGGCCAGCTTCGCCAAGTGGAGATTTTCCTGGAGTGTTCCTCGGAGTGAGTCTGATATTTAGCGTTCCTAAGTGATCCGATCCGCTAAGCTCTGGTGCAATATAGATAGATGGGATTTAGTGGCTGGTGACGGGAGAGTCAACCCCTCTCTGTCCCTCCACACCCCCACCCCCAGCCCCTGGATTATGACTAAATGGCCTCTAATCAGTTTACGGGTCCCAAAGAAATGTCCGTCACTTAAGCCATTAGCGTGTTCGTGGTTTATTTGGTGGGTCGATAGCTGAGGTGGTGGGCTCTCGTAAATTCTAAAGAGTTGTGGAGAAAGAAGAGACTTCGCAAGAGTAAATGGAGTAATGGAGTGGATAGGGTAGACAGCAGCAGGAAGCCTGGCTCGTTTCTGGTGCCCAGAAAGATGGGAGACAGGAAGGACTCCCCTCTCTTTCAAGTCACAAGGTTGTGACAGCCCACAAGTGGACTTGGAAGTGCTAACACAATCGCTTATTTTGTTTTTCTTTTGAAGTTTGCTGGCTTCATGACTTAATGTACTATTGAGAGTCTATCACTAAAGATGAAATCCAAAAGTTGTACGGGAGCAAGGCATAACATAACGGCTTGAGCCTCTATTACCAGAACTTGGGCGCCTGAGGCAGAAGGACCACCAAAAGTTTGAGGGTAGCCTAGACTATAGAGTGAGACTATCTTAAACACACACACACACACACACACACACACACACACACACACACACACACGGATGCAATAAACAAACAAACAAATAAATAAATTTTAAAAAGCCAGGATGGCTGAATGGCTCGGAGGTTAAGAGCACTGGCTGGCCTTCCAAAGGACCGGTGCTCAGTCCCAGCACCCACATGACAGCTCACAACTCCAGCTGTAACTCCAGTTTCAGGGGATCTGATGCCCTCCTCTGCTCTGTGGGATTCTGCACGCACTTGGGGCACATAAATTCACACAACCCCACACAGGCACACATAAAAATAAAAAAATAAATAAATCATTTTTTAAAAAATTTATAGGAAAAAAAGAATGAAAATTCAATAAGAGTAACCTACCCCTTTTAAGATTTTTTCACTCCACTTTTTTTTGTTAGAGGACTGGCCATCTACATCCCAGTTGTGACAAGTGAATTGTTATGGTTCTATTCTTTTGAAAACTCAGATAGAGCTTTCAAAGTCTTAAGTACCTTTATTAGAGCTCACAAAAGTTACTAGAACTGTACACATTTATAATGTGTGATTATTTTATGATACTCTTTATTTGGGGGTTAATTAAGTTGAGACACAAAATCTGGCCTTAAAAGACAGTCAAAGCTGGGAGCTAAGATTCCTTGAGTACCTGAGACTTAAGACGGTGCCCGGTTTTCCAGGCTGAACTTCCACTTGGTATCAGCAAGTGGCGTTTAGGTCGCGGCGTGTGGTATTGCTGCTCTGCTATTGGGTAAATTTTTTTTTTTGAATGCTTCTAAAATAAACTTATTTCACAACAGCATTACACCTGCAGAAAAATCACAGAAATAATATAGAGCGTTCCTATCAACCCCATGCCCACTTTCTCCTGTGCATGTGTGTGCGTGTGTGACACATGCTTGTGTTTGCTGCATGTTAAGGGGGCGGGTATCAGTACATCAGTGTTCTCTCTTTATCGCTATCTGTCTTGTTGCCTTGAGACAGGGTTTCTCACAGAACTGGAAGGTCATCATTTTGGCTGGGCCGGCCGGCCAGCAAGCTTGGAGGATCTGCCTGTCTCCATCCATGCAACAGCGGAGTTACAGGGGCACGCAGCCACGCCTGCCTTTTTACGTGGACGCTGAAAACTCAAATGCAGGTCCTCATGCTTTCCAGTAAGCACTCTTAGCTGCTCAGCCACCTCCACAGCCCTCTCCTGTGACTCACACATTATATTACTAATGCATTCTTTCTCACATTTCAGTGAATTTTGACACATTATTACTCGCTATAACCCAGAGTTTCCTTAATATTTTATTCATATTTTCTTTGTAACGAATACCCTTTTTCATTCTAGGAATCCACACACGATGCCACGTTGCTTTTAGTCACCACAACCCCTAAGGGTCTCTTAGCTGCTGTCTGAGTTTCTCCAAGTTCCTTGTTTTTGGTGGCATGACACTTTAGAGATGTACTACGTAGGTATGTAGGACTACGTTTCTTTCAGGGATCATGTGATGGTTTCCTCAGGATCACGGGGTAATGAGTTTTGAAGAGAGAGGCTGTTAAAGGGGTTTTAGTTACTACAGGCTGGCAATGTTCAAGTGGAAAACCCAATCATTCTGTGGCCTGAGGAAGAGCTGGGGGGCTGGAGGCAGCCTGGTCCACAGTGAGCATCTCTCAGCTGGAAAGTTACTTCAAATACAGAATCTCCCAGCAGCTCTCCCAATAGCTTGTGGTCACTATGACTGTGCACTGAGTTTAAATCCTCTCTGAAGACTTACAGCAATCTCCTGTAGGTTTGTTGAGGGGTGTGGGGGGGGGATGCTTCAAATTTCTACTGGAAGTTAATGTGAAACAGCACTCTCTTTATAGAAACGGTTGCCTTAGGGTCAGCATGACTGCTACAGTAGAAATGTGGAACTCCCAGAGTGTCTGTGATACAGAGATCTGAATAAAATGTGGGACCTATGCTGGGACAAACACCCCTTTGTGAGAAGAGTCAAGTCAGTGGGTTCGTGTCCCACAGCTACCACCTGAGACTATTAAGGCATGGAGTGGGTCACCAAGTTGTGTGGGGGCAGGCTGATGTCACAGCCCAGGAGAAGCAGCTTTGAATTTGAATATAAGAAACTGGGGTTGGGGGGGGGGGTCCCAGGAATTAGCTACTTTCTCCCATGTTGTACAAAGGCCATGCAGTTAGTAAAGGAAAGACTATTTCCAAAATACAGAAAAGAAAATTAAGCCCGATGTATATGTCCTATGTGCAGTTTGGGTTTTGGTTGATGAAAAGGCCATTATCTGTGTGTTTAGTCGCTCGGTGCCTGGATAATCCCACTGGAATCTGTCCGCTCTGTTGAAGTTCTTCAAGCATAGCCCGTATTTACTTAGGACCTCTCTGCACGCTCTCTGCTTCATCTTAATTCTCTTTCTCACAGCCAGACGCTCCTGCTCTACAAATGACTTCGGACAGAGCCAGGATTTGAACTCTGCAGTGAGCCAGTGGGCAACAGTCTCAGCTCCTAACTAATCGCCACTTTAAACTCCTTGTGCGTTATTTCAAAATGCCTCTGTGAGGACAAGTACCCGGTCTCCACTAGATTGTCAAGGTCACAGCATTAATTTCTACCCATGCTTCAGAGTATCTCAAAGTAGAGGTATTATCACTACTGATAACCACTGGGAAGATAAAAGAAAAAAAATCAAACAGCCTCATTCTCACTCACCTGCAGACTGGAGTGGCTCAAAGGGAAGAGCCAGACATTCAGCAGTTCTGTACGGTGGAACTGTGACATGTGAAGCTTGGCACTCGGTATTCTAAAAGCTGGCCACATAGTGGAAATTAGTCTGCGGTTGCCACCCAAGAATGACCTTTCAC